TACTGAAAATACGCAGTACCGTAATTCCCCTATAGTTGGAAACAGTATACACATCTCCTTTCTTATGTACATCTACAGACCACTGAGTTTGGAAACTACAGTTATCAAACAGAATATTGAATAAAATGGTTCTGTAAGGTGCGAACACGTCACCCGAATGCTTAAATATTTGTGCAGTTATCCCACCAGTACATGGAGATATTTGACACTTAAGCGTGTCAATTGATTTTATCACTTCATCGAGTGTTATTGGCGAGTCATGAATAGCTATAATGTTACTATCAGAAAACTGAGAATTGACACTACAAACGTTCAATCAATCATCATTATATTTTCAATACATATAGGCCACAGGCCTTATTATTACCAATTCCTCTTACGATCTCCTTTAAACTGCTAATAAAGGAGCATATATGTACTTTAAAAACCAAAACATATGCTTCATATTGCTTTCTGTTAATTACTTTTTCTTGTTTATGTTTGGTCGAAATGTTTGATAATATGACCTAAATGGTTTTGTAATAGAATTACGGTTAGTGTCAATTAATTGTCATCACGTTATTCAAGAGAATCAAGTGTATGATTTCATCAGAATAACTACCAGCCACATTAACCTTAACATACCGGGGATTTCGGGTGGCCCAGTCATCGAAGGAGCAGAAATTCGTTGCCCAGAGTTGCGTGTCTTAGTCGCAGCAGGGTCCTCTAATCGGTGGTTCAAACAGTTGATTATGATCCTCATCATTCTCTTAATTCCATACCTTCGTCTCCCAGGAAAATCAACTTTGGTCCAGGAAACGTTAAATATCGACATTTTGGGTGTTGTGCTTCGTTATTCAACTCAGCAATATTCCAGATATATGACGCCGGTCTGTTTCCAACAGATAGGTATTCTTTAGTGTGAGTGTGTACATCCTTATAGTTGCGTTGTCACAATAATGCTAAATATTGAGACTGTAACAGATGAGCGCAAACAACGACTAACGAGGATACATAGAATAGGATAACACGTCTCCAACAATTGAACTTGAGCGACATATCTGCTGAGATGGTCAGCTGCTTTGGGCAAGTATTTGGAACGAAGAAGGCAATTAGGACATATTTATCGCAACAGTTAAAGAGTCAAACGCGACATGAGACAGTCACACGCTCTGTCAATGGCGCCGTCAGGATTTCGAATGCTATATGCTATATAACAAGCCCGACACTGTCAAACCGTGTCAAGTATGGAGTGAATATGGTTTTACTCTGCATTAAATCCAGACACATTTAATGATGTGGGGAATAAAACCCGGACCTACAGCATAGAGAGGAAACGCTTTCACCTTTGACTACCCCGTCACCCTACCCATCTGTCTCCCTGGTAAGTGAGATCGACGTATCAATGGATTTCTTGGCTTGTCGTCAATCAAAGATACCGATACTTCTTGCGAAGAGCTGAAAGTTTGTTTCAAAACAAGAGGATTCAACTCGATAGATGACATGGTTCGCTGCAACGCAATCCGCCATTTCCGATCCGATGTTAATGTTTATGCATGACATCGTTTTTTTTCTCTTTGTGCAGCGAGCGGAACATTGCTTTGGAGTCTTTTGCAACAACAACTTAAAGAACCATAAAGATAAACATAAGACTTGGAATATCTAATGCAGTAGAACTCCAGGCTGCGCTCCACTGGATTACAATACAATACCATATACAATAAATCCAGGCCTTGTATTTCCGATGACTAGGAGGTTTACTGTTACAAACGTATCAGAGAATAATCAAAACCTGACAAAAACATCAAAGGTATGCCCAGGGCATGTTTCTCAAAATAAAAGAATACTTATAATCCGACGTCTTATCTTAAAACAACTAAAAGTGTAAATCTCAAAAGAAAATTAACAAATCGATAAAATGGCTTCTGAACGATTAATAATACTGTAGGTGAACATCAGATTGCACTCTATTTTAACATTGTAAAACCACAGGGAGCAGAGATAGATGAAATAAACATCTTTCTATTTATCTTTTCTATGTAAACATCATCGATTTATGAACCTCTTTATAATTATTTATCCTTGAGATCTGTATAAATTATTTACAACGAATGTTTACGTGGTTTGAAAGAAAGTATGGATTTTCCCCATGTTATGTTTCCCAACACTTGTGTCTCTTGTTGCTAGGTATCCCAATATTTTCTTTCAAACAATCTGTTTTTAACTGTGATCATCTGAACACTAAACTATTTGGGGAGCATATGACAGTTAGTTTTGTATAACTTAAATTCTGAAATTCAATAAAACAATATTAAACATTATGCTTTTGTATACACAAATCACAAAGCTGTGTAAACAACAACCCATGTAAACAACTATTATGCTCACAAGGTTATCACGTGAGGTAAGAAATGGTGCCTTAACATTGCGATCAAGCTCCACAAGGGAGTAGCAGAGATTGTGAGGTCTAATTTAAAGCAGCATTTGTTCACGACACTTTGTTGGGTCTGAAATTTATATCTGTCTTCAAATATATATAACCATCATTCGCAGTCATGTCAAAGAGGCTGAGTTTGTCAAACTTACCTTTGAAAGTTTCAAACATAATTTAGATCTATAATATTATCAGTCAGATTTCATATTTTTCCCATCCCGACGTCAGAATAGAACATGTTACCAGTTTAATTTAGATCTAGGCACATAACGATTGGATCACCATATTTACGGCAAATCATATTACCTGTCTATATTACAAAATCGTTTCCAGTTTGGGTGACGAGTGTCACAGTCTTTTAAGGCGCAATAATTCGCTGCTGAGATGTGCTGTCACTTAGGCATGCCAGGATCCGGGGATACTTAGTTCGAATCCTTGATTCGCTCTGATGTACTGTTCCAAGAGGTGTTCAACCCAACTCACACTCACATGCAGTTTGCCTCATGGAATGAGTATTTGAGCAATTCAGTAATAACAACTGAATAGAAGACATAATTTTAGCTTACATGGATTGTAAAATGTTATCACTTCAGTTGTTCTCGCCGACAATCTAAAACCGTCTCTACTCGATTCCTTCACGCTCGAGTTGAGAGTTGTCTAAATCAAAACTATTTCAGGATTGACACTTCATCACAGTACTATTTTGTATATTTCCTATCGCAATACTACTTGATCCTTATCTTCTGAGTAAGTGTGTTTTGTATAATTATATATACAAATATTTATGTTCGATCTCAGTTACACTGTGTTTGCACATATTGTTCGTGTGTGTGGTGTTTCGCTATCCACGCACAGTTTTATCACATGAATGAAAAATTCTTCAGTAGTATATGTTTTCAACAAAGATATTAACAAAACACAATCGACAACCAACAGGAAGTGGGACATATTGTAGTGTTTAACAGAATTGTTCCTGTGACTATGAATAATAGAACAGCATGTCAATATTATTTCGCAACACATATTCATGAGTCAATCAATAAGCAAATACTTTGTTACATTTTTATTTTCAAAGGGATCAGTTGAAAGTCAATACCAAGTGCGACGAGGTCAGACGGTAGCGAAGGCGCCAAACTAAGCTGAGAGGCAAAAGAAAGTATACCGAGTTTGTGTTTCATGTTAATTTGATTATGTCTGTTTAACCATCACTACTTCCTGCAACAGTTTGTAAAAAGTTATCTGTGCCTGTTTATTTTTGTGTAAAAATAAATTGGTTCATTTTAAACGGGGGTAAAAAAATGAATTGGCAACAACATGTCCCTTACCATGTTTGAAGTGTTATGAATTTTGTGCAAAACAATAAGCAAATGTATTGATTTTCAAAGATAAATGTCTGAGATACCCATCAGCAATTGTGTATTATGCGAAAATGTTTAATTCTTTAAAGTTTGAAATTAAGTTATATTTTAAAAACTAAAACCATGTAGAAGTATTCTTTCAGTGTCAATACAGTTCATTTTGGGGATATAATTATCAGTGCCCATCGACGGCATTAACCAGACCCAAATCGTAGCCTTTACCGGAAACACGGTTACACAGTATACACTTTTAGTCACTGGGGTCGATTATTGAAGTATAACCACAGCTATACAATTGTGATAGGTGTACCTTCAAACACTGGTAGAGACGCGGATTGCCCAGTCGTCTAAGGCGCCACAGGTCACTGTTGCGTTCCTTCTTTAGACAGCGAGTTGCGACGTCATCAGTCTCCCCAAACACCTCGAGTATTGGGGTTAATCATCCGAAACATAGCACCTAACATAAAACGCCAATGAATGGTTGATAACCTGACACCTGCTAAAGGGAACTGTGTACTACGTGAAGGTCCACAGACACATAACATGACAATCAATAGTTGATAAACTTGACACCTACTGAAGGGAAGTGTGTGAAGGTCACCAGATACGACCTCAAAATTTTGAATACTAGTATTCCAATATATATATACATACATACATACATACATACATACATACATACATACATACATACATACACACACACACACACACACACACACACACACACACATATACATACATACATACATACATGTGTGTGTGTGTGTGTGTGTGTGTGTGTGTGTGTGTGTGTGTGTGTGTGTGTGTGTGTGTGTGTGTGTGTGTGTGTGGGCAACTCCAGAGTAAATCAGTCTCGATTATCTGCCCAAACTGATTCCATTGTGTGTAAAAGGCAAAAATAGTGATGAAAGTAATGTGAAAGGATCACTGAAATCAGCGAGGTAACCGGGTTTAAGCGAATAGGCATGTCCTGCTCTCCCGGTGACACCCGCCACTCACTATATCTAGATGGTGCGTCGTGGGTTCGGTTTATGGTTGCTTTTAGAAATTTCCAGCAATATCACGACGGGGAAACCAGGAATGGTCATCTCATATCGTATCCATGCGTATATTCGAACCCGGGTCTCGATACGAAGAGCCAACACGTCATCCACTGGGCCGGCCATACAGTGGAAGGCAATGGAGGACATGAGGAAATGTAGAAACAAACAATACAAAAATCATCATCTGTGTTTATAGTGTTTAATGCACAATTATATAGAAGAGTAACAATTAATTTGTAACAAATCAACAGGCATTGAATCATAGCTTGTAAACATTTGCGTTTTATGTGAGTCATGGTGATTATATCACAAAATATAATTTCTGTATAGTTTACTGATTGAGCTTCCTGACAAAATATTCGCCTTACCTTCAAAATTGCGATATTTTACAAGCATATAAAGGAGATATCACACTGAGCTTTCTTATCACAATTTGAATAAAAACATTAAATAAAACAATTAGACCACATGATAGTGAACAACTACCTACCCATCCAGCTACACTATGACAACAATTAAATGTGAACAAAGTAGAGGATTTCTAACATTTCACAAAATATAGTTCTGCTTTGCTCCACGCGTGTGACAAACTCAACTAATGTTATAGGTTGCATAACACCAAGATGGGGGATTTATCAGAGTATGACTCATTTAAAATACCAGCACAATGTATTATTTGTTTTACACCAGTGCCGATCAACATGTCATCTTTGATCTGTTTACACATGTTGTAACGGCAACTAAGTCGATCATGAATCCTTACTCAATGCCCGAGGAGTTGTTTTTGTCCCGACTGAGCTGGGACACCTGCGGGTTATTCGATCACCACGTAATTCCAACGTTTAGTTCTTTACAGTGCTCTCGGGGGAACTAGTCCCGTCGGATATAATGTACATTCACGGTTAACCGGTCTAAACTAGTTCACCTTCACACTCAACAAGTCTAAACGAGTTCATCTTCACCGTTGACCAGTCTGATATAGTGCACCTTCACGGTTAACCGGTCTAAACTAGTGCACCTTCACGGTTAACCGGTCTAAACTAGTGCACCAGTACCTGAATCAGCGGCTGCCAGAAGTCGATGTTACTGTCACAAAACTTACACACCAGAATCCACGGGAATGTTGATATATCAGATTCGACCTAATTCGTCTGTTAACATAAAAGACGCCTGAATTGGTGTCATAAGTAATAAAGATCTGCCACCTGAAATACTTTGAAGCTTCTGATGTTACTGACGTTATGTTCAAAGCGGGGTTCTTCCCCCGACTCTTTCACTCAAACACACTGTAGAAATATAGGTGTTGCTCGATTGTATCTACCTTTATGGAAGGACAGCTTCCATTTGTCAAAACGAATAGACATGTACTGAGTGCAAAAAGCATTAGCATGAGAATCTGTTTGCCGTATTTCAAGTGAATATCTCTTTGAAAGGATCGATATTTCTGTGAGAAAACTGTTAATGTGAAGGTTACATATGTCTCCCCGTGTAGCATCCATTGAAGTGATGTATAATTACCAAATTGGTAAATCGTTTTAAGTAAATCCCACCTATATATACTGATGGCGTCAATTAAGGGAACGTATATACGGGGAACATTCAAATATCTAATGTTATGTAAATCATCTTTATTGAACGAAGCAGTTAGTTCCTGCGATGGGCTCTCTTACTTTCCTTGGTATAGCAATGCATACATTAAAGGGAAAATGTTTCCCGGGCTTTGAAAGACGTACATATATTTTTGGTGACAAATAAAAACAACGTGCCAAATCACTATTGACGTGCTGAGTTGTTGGATAGGCATTTCTTTGAAGTTTACGGATTGCAACGTAGACACAATAACTTGTTAATAATACTGTAATAGCAGTATACTTTATTACAGTAGAATAAAGAAGCTGTTATCCATAAATTGTGTCGACTTTGTCACTAAACCTCACCGAGACATCAATGCAAATCTTTGAATGAACATTGAGGATGAATGGACAAATACGAAACAAGTATGTTAAGGTTTCTATTATTATTATTATTATTATTATTATTATTATTATTATTATTATTATAGTACAAGGGTTTCTCCCGCCTCCGTGTTCTAGTGGTAGATCGTCCGCCCGGAGAGGGGAAGGTCCGGGGTTTCGAACCTCGGCCGCCTCAAACCCAACAGACATTAAAACATGGTACTTGTTAAAAATAATATTCGGTCTGGATTCAGTATACAGTGTCTGAGTGGGGTATTCATGTTCAACTGCGGCATGGTACCTCAGTGGGCTAGCACTATAAAATCGGCATTAGTCTGGACGAGTGCAAGCAGCTACACACACGTGCATGCACGTCGCTATAAAATTGCAATACTATTGGACGCTATTAAACCCCATTTCACATCACCTCACTGTTACATTTGTATAACACTATCGCAATGCAGAACTTAAGTTTCAACTCTGTGCCTTATAACAGCCTTTAATCAGTTGATTTTATTTAATTGTCCAGAAACGCTTTCAAATGTATGTCTCTACAAAACTAAATCCCAGATGCGGTTTCGTGGGTCCATTGGTTGCAGAGGAGAATATGTTTACAGGTGACGCCGATAAAGACAGACAATTGCCAGGCGGCCATGTTGTTTTAACTGGTCACCTGAAATGTCCTTATTAGAGATGTACCTGGTAACCAGCATATAACAGCATACAACTCGTAAGGCACTTGTGTAGCCAGAACACAAAACTGTACAAAATATTAAACAGCCAAACGAATTCGTTGTATGGAAAAATATTTGTCTTATCAGCAATGTAAAAGAAGTGTTTAGATTTACTATTATGATCAAAACAAGCGAATCGTGCAAAACCAATCTGTTCAATATGATCAACTTAAAAATAGTTCCATGTAGTTGTACTGCAATACTACATTTCTGTGTAAGGTCAAACATAACGGAAAACTGAAAGCCACCACTCCAGGGCACCGCTCCATAAAGCTATCTTAGCGCTACGACTATCGTAAGCCAGTGTTAAAGTATGGGAGTTACCATCACCTTAGCGCTAAGATGGCTTTGTGTAACGGGGCCCTGGATCATATATCCTCTTTGATTGCACCATTGCTAATCTAACGGACAGGTGCAACATTCCTTACGATTTGTTATGATTATGGAAATGGTTTTATCGGTTTTATTTGCAGTTCTTTCAATGATGTGCTTTTCCTTACGTATGCAAACAATGGATACGCATAACCATATTCTTCCCGAGACGGTGAAAGTCACGCCAAGCCACAATGGAGTACGGCGTCTGAGACAAACATGCCGCTACAGCAAGATATGAAAAATCCTGAATATTTAACATACATATGAACATATTAATGTGCTAATGCAGCATAAGTGCAGGTGCGAGATCTATCAAGCTGCCCCCGCTGCACCTGCTACCTTTGCTCCTCCTCCCATTCCTGCCGTAATGACGGCCTTTACCGCCATTACCAACACAACGGCAGTTACAACAGCGGCAGTACCCCCAAATACAACTGCCATGATGAGAGTTTTTTTATTCAACTTGCCCTCTTTCGGAGTCTTTTCTGTGGATACGTCAGGATTTGATGGATCCTTGGGATTTGTCGGAACTGCAGGATTTGATGGATCCGTGGGATTTGTCGGATCTCCAGGGTTTGATGGATCCTTGGGATTTGTCGGGTCTCCAGGACTTGATGGATCCTTGGGGTTTGTCGGAACTGCAGGATTTGATGGATCCGTGGGATTTGTCGGATCCCCAGGATTTGATGGATCCGTGGGCTTTGGCGGATCTCCAGGATTTGATGGATCCGTGGGATTTGTCGGATCCCCAGGATTTGATGGATCCGTGGGCTTTGGCGGATCTCCAGGATTTGATGGATCCGTGGGCTTTGGCGGATCTCCAGGATTTGATGGATCCGTGGGCTTTGTCGGGTCTCCAGGATTTGATGGATCCGTGGGCTTTGGCGGAACTGCAGGATTTGATGGATCCGTGGGATTTGTCGGATCCCCAGGATTTGATGGATCCGTGGGCTTTGGCGGATCTCCAGGATTTGATGGATCCGTGGGCTTTGTCGGATCTCCAGGATTTGATGGATCCGTGGGCTTTGTCGGATCCCCAGGATTTGATGGATCCTTGGGCTTTGTCGGATCCCCAGGATTTGATGGATCCGTGGGCTTTGTCAGATCTCCAGGATTTGATGGATCCGTGGGCTTTGTCGGATCCCCAGGATTTGATGGATCCGTGGGCTTTGTCGGATCCCCAGGATTTGATGGATCCTTGGGATTGGTCGGATCTCCAGGATTTGTCGGATCTATTTGAATTACAAAGGGTATTACCTTATAAGTTTCATCAATATTTATTTCCCGCAAGATCATCTTATATTACTCGCTTATCGTGTACTTCCGTTACAATTGATTGTTTGTTGCTATACTCCATCGTCATTAATATCGAAACCAAAATTCGTCTCTGGACTAAGCAAACCAGAGCCTGGAGGCATCAATGTCCAATGTCATCGGGTAACGATGACAAACACTCAGCCAAGTCTCAGTGCCTGACTACCTGATTCCCATTTTCGTCGGTTCTTACAACAAGCATGAGACAAGAAGGAACAACTGGGACCTGGAATCAGAGTTCTTCGTATACTTGCCGGATTTGCAAGAGTGCATAAAACCAACGCGACTGTCGTGAAAATGCAGTTTTATGACGTCAATTGTACGTGTACTTACTTGAGTTATCTGGTGATCCTGTTGTCGTCATGTTATCTCCTTTTGCTGCAATGAAAAACATACTTGCAAAACGTAGGACATAGGCTGTGTGTCTGATTTCGCTGCTGCAGAAATAGTCCAGAGACCCTTGCAATACACAAGATACATCCATAGAAATTGCAATATACAAGCTACATCTATAGAAAATTACAAAGGATAAACATATGCTTATCTCCTCGTGAAGATGCAGACATAGAAATTGTAAGGATAATTTGTTTTATGACTAGCACGCCTAACAGAAACCTGTCCTTTGACATGACATGTGTTATATCCAGTGGATAGCTTATTTCTTTCTTCAACAGCGCTTCGGTAGACACAAAAGACACAGGCAGCTTAGAGAACGGTTGAAATCTGCCCACTTAATTGAGAAAGACTTTGACGTGGTATCATCACTAATTGACACTGATTTAAGAACACACACACACTTATGACACGGTTTGAATCGAAAAACGGACAGAGATTTCTTATGATCATGAAAATGGTTTGTTTCGCTCTTATTAACGTGTTTTAAGTGTTATCTTTTACGGGCTGAATCGACTTGTAACAGCCGTATGATGTGGCTGTGTTTAAAGCATGAAACTTTTCAAATAGGAATGTTTTTCAGTATATTTACACATATGGCGGCCATAAAAAGAATTCAATATGGCGGGTGGTCATTGGTGGTTTTTGACACCATCCTCGATTACCCTGGGTATTATATCGCCTTTCTATTATGAGGTATACCGCGGATCCATCCGCCACTACAGTTTTGTTTGACGAAGTGCAGTCCTAGTCCCAATCTCTCTTATCATTAAACTCTCGCTCATGGGTTTTAAATTTAACGGCTATTTTGAGCGTCGTCTACTTCTTTCGAATCAGACTCAAAACGAAGCTACGGTGGTGAATGGGTCAACGGTATTTATCTTCACAAATTGGAGATAAAATACCCCTGATGGTCGTGGATTGTATGGCAGCTGCATGCTCAGTGTTTTTCTGATTGTGATAGTATCACAGTTGGCATAAAGTAACCCATATGTGGTTAGACTCCACCTCGCTAGCATGTCTACATGTATGTTTATGGTGGGATCATGTCCGTCCACTTGCCCACACAGGTCCAACACACACTGTCTAGTTCTAGTACTGGTGGTTGCCCGTCTTTACTGATAAACAGGATTTCATTACCTTACAATAATGGTCCATTGGATAAAGTTTTTAGTTAGTGTTCAGTAAACTCGACTGCGTTTATGATGGGTATCCGCCGGTATCAACCCCCCAAAGTGTCCATTACGTTTTCAGAAGTCAGGACTGTGTCTTTTTTAGTTTCCAAAGGGGTAGTGATAACGTTTGACTTCAGAAACATGCCCCTCCGGCCTTCACACTCAACAAAATAATATGGAATCTGCATCAATTATGTATCTATGTACAACTGACTCACCATTTCCTCCTGGTTTCCCGCCTTCCTTTCCTACAACAGAAATTGTCCTTTTTCTCTCATCTATCATCAAAACACTACACAACTAAAGTCTATTGTTAGGTTCACGATCATAAATGGATGGCTATTTAATATTTATTTTGGATTTAATCAGACAACTCCATCCATGAAGAGGTTATTTTCACAATCAACACTAACACTGGACAAAAGACGTATAAGGTAGAAGGCTATTTCATTTGCGATGTACTCACCTGAGCTTTCTGTTGTGCCAGTTGTAGTTGCTTCATCCCCACTTGTTGTCGTCTCGCCTCGACCTGGCATCCAGAAAATTGAAATACGTCAGCTTATTGTAAAAGGCAGGTACAAATCAAAGAGCAAAGTAAGACAAAAGTAAGGCTAATTTGATAGGATTGACATGACTAAATGTACATGTATTCATTATACCATCAGTTTTATGTGTCGCAGAAAGAATGACGATGAGCGGGCTGACTGGTGCCACTGATTCAGCATGTTTTGAAGCATAGTGTTTGATTAAATGACAAAAAAACTAAATATTTGGAACTTTAGCAGTGCAAATTCTGAACAGGAACTTTGGCCAAGAATCGAAAAATCATGCGATTTTGAGTTTCTGGTGATGCTAGTTCCCAAAATAAAGTATGGCCTCGAGGTTTTCGACTATATCTCATTGTGCAACTAACGCCAGTGGCTAGAGCCGAGTGTCTAGTTTTAAAGGGGTATTTACAGTGAACAGTGTTGAAATCGTTCCCGTAAAAACTTTGTATGTTGACCCCCTTAAATATACTCTTTAAAGGTAGGAGATAGTCGAAAATAACAGTCAATGAGTGATGCACAAAGAGGTACCTAATGACGGTATTGGGTGGATAAGAAAAAAGGACTAGGTGTAACATGACCATCAACATAACATATTGTGGGAGGTTTTAAGAGTGCAAACAATCAAGAAAAAATTTCAGATGTCAAAACTGTGTCTAATTTTGGTTTCGAAAGGGATGATGGTAATGTGTACTCTTCAGAAACATGCCCCTCCGGCCTGCACACTCAACACAATAATATGGAATCTGCATCAATTATGTATCTGTGTACAACTGACTCACCATTTCCTCCTGGTTTCCCGCCTTCCTTTCCTACAACAGAAATTGTCCTTTTTCTCTCATCTATCATCAAAACACTACACAACAAAAGTCTATTGTTAGGTTCACGATCATAAATGGATGGCTATTTAATATTTATTTTGGATTTAATCAGACAACTCCATCCATGAAGAGGTTATTTTCACAATCAACACTAACACTGGACAAAAGACGTATAAGGTAGAAGGCTATACATTTGCGATGTACTCACCTGAGCTTTCTGTTGTGCCAGTTGTAGTTGATTCACCCCCACGTGTTATGGTCGTCTCGCCTCGACCTTGCATCCAGAAAATTGAAACACGTCAGCTTATTGTAAAAGGCAGGTACAAATCAAAGAGCAAAGTAAGACAAAAGTAAGGCTCATTTGATAGGATTGACATGAATAAATGTACATGTATTCATTATACCATCAGTTTTATGTGTCCCTGAAAGAATGACGATGAATGGGCTGACTGGTGCAATCGATTCAGCATGTTTTGTAGCATAGTGTTTGTTCAAACGATAAAAAAAACCCTCAATATTTGGAACTTTAGCAACACAAATTCTAAGCAGGAATTTTGGCCAAGAATCGAAAAATCATGATATTTTGAGCTTCTGACGATGCTAGTTCCCAAAGTACGGCCTCAATCAAGTATGGCCAAACAATCATGAAAGTTTTTAAGAAGTCAAAACTGTGTCTAATTTTGGTTTCGAAAGGGATGATGGTAATGTGTACTCTTCAGAAACATGCCCCTCCGGCCTGCACACTCAACAAAATAATATGGAATCTGCATCAATTATGTATCTGTGTACAACTGACTCACCATTTCCTCCTGGTTTCCCGCCTTCCTTTCCTACAACAGAAATTGTCCTTTTTCTCTCATCTATCATCAAAACACTACACAACAAAAGTCTATTGTTAGGTTCACGATCATAAATGGATGGCTTTTTAATATTTATTTTGGATTTAATCAGACAACTCCATCCATGAAGAGGTTATTTTCACAATCAACACTCACATTGGACAAAAGACGTATAAGGTAGAAGGCTATACATTTGCGATGTACTCACCTGAGCTTTCTGTTGTGCCAGTTGTAGTTGATTCACCCCCACGTGTTGTGGTCGTCTCGCCTCGACCTTGCATCCAGAAAATTGAAACACGTCAGCTTATTGTAAAAGGCAGGTACAAATCAAAGAGCAAAGTAAGACAAAAGTAAGGCTAATTTGATAGGATTGACATGACTAAATGTACATGTATTCATTATACCATCAGTTTTATGTGTCGCAGAAAGAATGACGGTGAGCGGGCTGACTGGTGCCACTGATTCAGCATGTTTTGTAGCATAGTGTTTGTTCAAACGATACAAAAAACTTTAGCGGTGCAAATTCTGAGCAGGAATTTTGGCTAATATTTTTACCCTAACTTTGCCTAGACGGATGATAGGATGGGCCCGGTCCTATCAATCGGCAGGTCATGTGCATTTAGTTTCATTTGCACACTGTTGTCAGTTCATGCTTTTGACTTGGCCTATTTAAAAATTGATTGAACATTATATTTGCCTCGAGCCTTAATGCCAAGAAAGTGGTGGCTTATGGGCCAATCTGATAGAACATTTTTCTTTTATTTCTGGTTGAGTATATCCTCTTGGTATGCTTGGTGTCGCCTGTCGGAGGCCCACAGGCATATGGCATTGTCCTTTTTGACACTCCATGGTGGATGGGGACACAATGGGATGAAACACAATTAATACCAACATGGAACCCCCTTTGGAGAAATGCTCTCATTGAATCTCATGACTGGTTTGACACTGTAGATGATAGTCCACGGACTTCTCCTGTTACTGTTGACAACTTGCCTCGATTCTTGGTGATATCTGCTTCAGATTGCAACGCTTTAAAGCTGAACCCCTTTGCAATTGAGAAAGCAATACAAGGCATAGCTGAGATGTGGCAAATGCCAAAAGATTACAGTCTGGGTGCTTATTGATAGAACGTAAGTGACACAAACAAACCATCAATTTGCTATCACTTAGGTTACTTGCCAATGTTCCAGTTGAGGTTTCCTGACACAGGTCACTATATAGTAGTGAGGGAATTGTTCAAGATAGAGGGCGATTGGTGGCAGATATGACTGAAGATGAAATTGTAGTTGAACTGAAAGGTCAAGGTGTAACATCAGTGAAGAACTTTTCTGCATAAAAGACAAAATGAAGTTGTTCTAACCAACACTTATCTTTTCACTTTTGGATTTCCTAAAATCCCAGATTCACTTAAAAGTCTTGGTATTGTAACAACAAGGTGGATAGGTACATCCCTAATCCGCTACAAAGTCCAACAATTTGGTCATGGTTCTAAGTCATGCGATTATCCAGCTGCTTGTCATCGATGTGGTGGCAGTTGTGCCGACAGTGCTGCGTGTGATAAAGTGCCCTTTTGTGTCAACTGCTCTGGGGACGACTATTCATCTTCAAAGGAATGCCCAACTTGGAAAAATGAAACTAAAATTGTCAAACTGAAAATCTCATGTCAAGATGCCAAGAAAATTGCCCTAGCTGAAGAACAACCAACAGTGTCTTCTTACTCAGTTACAGCTTCTCGACCTGTTTCAGGTCATGTTTCAAAAGTTTTTTCAAGGTCTGTTTCCTTGCAACCATTGGTTGACAAACAGATTACACTTGGACAAAAACTGAGTCTCCTCAAGACATTTCACTTTCTCATGTTAAAACATGCCTCTAAAACATCTAGTTCACAGACTACTCACTCAATACCGACTGTTCACAAACAAAATCCAAACGTAGATTATTATAAGAATAAGGATAACTGTGATCGTATCCCTAAAGGTCGTAGAGATCCTGTCTCTATTTGTAATAGGTCTCATGTGTTCAAAGACATGGACGTGTCCTCTCCACAAAACACATGCCCCAGAAGCCATTCTCCAAAAAAGAAAGGCCGAGGCCAGTCTCATGTAATTGCTCCATCATCAATACTAGTACAATCCTACAGTGGAATTGTCGGGGGCTTAGGGCGAATTTTTATGAGGTTAAACTTCTATCAAAATAATTTAATACTCTGGCTTATAGTCTTCAAGAAACGTATTTAAGAGAATGTGATGATCTCAACTTCCGTCAATATAATGTTTCATTCATATGCCAAGGTTACGCATGGTAAAAGGACGGGTGGCGCGAGCATACTTGTTCAGCAAGGTACGATACACAGTGCTGTCCCACTAAATACAAGCATACAGGCGGTTGCAGTACTTTGCATATTGCTATAACTTTATGTTTGCTTTATTTACCACCATCAACTTCACTTCAGATCAAAGATTTAGATAATCTTTTCACCAAACTTCCTAAGCCGTTCTTGCTTATGGGCGATGTTAATGGTCACAACCCATTATGGGGTTCAGGTGATTAAAGTCATAAAGGGAAAATGCGGGAAGAATTGCTCCAGAAGCATGATCTCTGTCTATTTAGTAATGGTAGCAACACGTATTTACATCCTGCGACTGGTACTAACTCAGCTCTTGACTTAGCCTTTGCTGAACCGTCTCTCTTAGATGAGTTCTCATGGTCAGTATATGATGGCATTTGTGGGAGTGATCATTTCCCGACCATTCTTAAAACTATCGTTCCTTGTAAGGACCCACCAATTACTCAATGGAAACTTAACAAGGCAGATTGGCAGACCTTTAGTACCCTATGCAGTGATGAATTGAGCTTTGACAATTTTATTGGTGATCCTGACCAGATCAGATCATTTTCTGATAAATTAATTAAGATTGCCACAGTAACAATCCCCAATACCTCGACAAATCCATTTGTAAATACACCATGGTATAATAATGATTGTAGATAGGGAAAAGTCTGAAAGAGTGTTTAATAAACACCCAACGGCCAACAATTTAAACCATTTACGAATGTCAAGATAAAAGGCTTGCAGAACAATAAAACAAAATAACGTACAAGTTTGTTTACCCCCCTTAATAAAGTATGGAATAATATAAGAATGATAAAACTAAAGGGGTCTCTGAACAATATTCAACATCTACAATCCAATTATGATATAATGACAAAAAAACAGGATATTGCTAATAAGTTGGCAGAAACGTTTAGCCAAAAGTCATCATCTGCCAAGTATGCCCCAAAATTTCAAAAGAATTCAGCAGGAAAGGAAAATTCTCAATTTTCGGTCTGATAATTCAGAGGATTACAATGAATCCTTTTCCTTGACTGAGTTACATGAGGCTTTGAACAAAACTCATGATACAGCTTCTGGGCCTAATGAGGTACAGTATCATTTTTTAAACATCTTCCTGAGCCTTCTCTTTTAGCTCTTTTATCCATATTTAATAGTATATGGGAAACTGGTAATTTCCCTGCTTCCTGGCATGAGGCTACTATAATACCTGTGCCAAACCAAGGTAAGGATGACACAAATCCTTCCAATTACCGACCTATTGCTCTGACAAGTTATCCCTGTAAAACCATGGAACAGATGAAGAACCGGTGTCTTGTTTGGTTTCTTGAATCAAATAACCTGACCACAGGCATTCAGTGTGGTTTTAGACATGAGAAGAGCACCGTCGATCATCTTGTCCAATTAGAATCATTAGTACGGAATGGTTTTGTAAACAAGCAACATGTTGTGTCGATCTTTTTGATACCACATGGAAATATGGTATATTAAAATATCTCCACGATATGGGTATACGTGGCCGTATGCCTGATTTTATCACTCGCTTTTTAGAACAAAGAAAATTTATAAATTTAAAGTTCGAGTAGGCTCCACATTGTCCGAGATATATGATCAGGAAATGGGGTCCATCGAGCAGTATTTTATCAGTGACACTTTTTAGCATAAAAATCAACAGTCATGCTAAAGTTTCAAATGAAAACATTGATGGATCGTTGTTTGTTGACGATTTTAATGTTTCATGCCGTGGTGCAAATATGAATACCATTGAGAGACGGTTACAACTTTGTCTCAATAAAATACAAAAATTCCAAAACTAAAACCTGCTGTGTTCACTTTTGCCACAAACGTAAAGTACATAAAGATCAAGAATAGACTTTAATTACTATTCCAATTAAAGTGGCCAAAGAAACAAGTTTTGGGTGTTACCTTTGAGCAAAAGTCATTTATATCTCTAATTGCAAATCTTAAAGCTAGATGTTTGAAAGTACTTGACATTTTAAAGGTAGTGTCAAATGCTAAATGTGGAACCCAGTCTTAGCCTAAGACGATATCACTATCGTCACAATATATCACTAAACTTCGCTCCAACCCTTCTTAACCAGCTTTTAACTATATCTTCTATCCTCCATATCAGCATTTATATATCAGAAATCCAAACGCAATCCCACCGCTTGGCATTCGCATGCAATCCCATATGAAGGATGCCCATTTGAATATATCTGCCATTGCGGAATATAAAATGTAAGAAATGCCTCCTTGGCAATCTGTACAACCTAATGTCAATTTAGAATTAGCGAACCTAAAGAAGTCTGACACTAATTATTTCAACAAAACTTTCATGGACTGAAGAACCGATATTCCTCTTATACCCGTTTTACGCTGATGGTTCAAAAGATAGTGAAAAGGTATCTGCTACAACTGTTGCTAACCATTATACAGTGTCTGTTACGTATAACTGATGGAAGTTCGATTTTTACGGCAGAAGCTCAGGCTATACTATTAGCATTGCAATATATTGAACAATCTTCTAAAAAAAATTCAGGCAATCAAAAGTAGAAAATCGGATCGTCATCTTAATTTGTCTTTAGTTGAAAAAATATATCACGTTTTGTTGGTTACCCAGTCATGTCGGCATCAGTGTCAACTGTAGAGCAGATGCTTCGGCAAAAGCCGCTCTTCAAACACAAACTTTCCGTATTCTGGTCTTAAACCTTCCATCAGACAGTATGTGAATGATCACTGGCAACAAAGTTGGAATACCAAGGTTTAGAATAAGCTCCATACCATCAAGCCACTGATTGGAGGTCACTCCCATTCTGTTCTATATCGACATGATGACGTTACCGCATTGGCCACAGTTATTATACACATTCATCTTTATTGTAGGGTGAATATCAACCTTTTTGTATCCCCTGCAATAGTCCAATTACTATCAAGGACATTTTGCTTGATTGTGTTGATTTTGTATTCCTCAGACAACGCTTTTATGATAATGTTCCTATCTTCCTTATCTGAACTTTTTAACACAGTTTCTAATCACTTGATTTAAGCATATTTAAAAGAAATCCAACTGTATGATAAAATATAGATTTTTATCTGAACAGTCATTTTTTGGTGAACCAAAGACTACAATGTAGTGACCAAGGTGCAGAACCGGGCCTGTAGATGTTTTCTCCGGGTACGAAAATATACCCCAAATAACGCTGTAAACGGAGAGATCGAGTGGACAGTCAATGGGGAGCTGTACTTGGCCACTGGAGACGACTTGTTGACATGGATGAAGGAAAGCTAAACAGGCGTGTTTATATATGGAGTGATAGCCAACAATCAAATAAGCTTGATTTTTCAATGCACTATAGTACCAATATTTTTTTGAGTTGTGGGTGAATGGGAGCATACAATATTATGTAACCACAGCCTCACCAACGTCATAGTGCATTATCTAGATTCAGGTGTGGAGTTGCCCCTACAAGACTGGCGACTGGGCGTTATGAAAACCTACCGGGACAGCGAATATGTCCTCTGTGTTGTATTGATGTAGAAAATGAAATACATGTCTTTTTGGAATGACCCGTGTATGATGATCTCCGCAATTCTCTCGAAAATATTGTTCGAGGTGTTAAAGAATATTTTGATTTTCTGAATGATGTAGATACACTATGCTTTTTATTCTCCACCGTAGATACTGTTAATCATGTCGCTGAAACCGCTTATTTTATACTTACCAGTCGTCGAAACCTTGTGTATAAATCTTAAGTATTACACTATATATTTTATCTTCTCAACCTTGTACACATGTCTTTTAAATTGTTTTCGTCTCTTAAATTCCATAAGGAATGGTGTGTGTATTATATATATGTACCTTGATTCTTGTGGTTAATAATGTTGTTAACTCAGTAAGACATAAATAGAATATATCTATCTGACACACAAAAAGGGCATTTTGATTCAGTGAACTTCTACATTGACAGCCCAAAAGAAGGGGCTAGAAGAGAAGCTGAGCTTTTTATCAGTGCTAATTACCCCCTGATCAATCCAGATACAGAATACATTATATAATTCTTAATACATTTCATAATTCTTAATACATTTCATATCTAACTGTGATGAATATTGAAATGTATTTAACCCAAAAAGTAATTCTTTACCGTGATTTGGGGAGATTGTCAATATTTGATAATTGAGTAAGAGCTAGTGTTTATTGGTTATTCACATATTGTTCAAGAGTTGGTTTTAATTATATGGAAAATGAGCTTTATATTTACTTGACGGTGAATTTGCTGGCTTCAGGACATTTTCATCTGGTTTTGTTTTAGGACTTTACCAAATTCTAGAACAACTTTAGGACATTATGGATGCCAATCAGTCAGTATCGTAGGAAAGGAGATGGTCTGAATTCCTGTTTGTGTGTTTTTATATTATTTAAGGAAAAGTCATGTTCACACTAGTATTTGTGAAGCATACTTGGGACGTATGCTTAAATAATGCAGATTTGCTGCTGACTATCAGCCCCTGAGCAGGTCGAGATTTATCTCTGGTGACATGCCCAACCCCATGTCCCAGATCCCCAAATAAATATATTTTATGATTCATTTATTACATAATAAAACCAATGAAGCAGAGAGGGGAAATGATGTACTGCTTTGATTGTATCAACTATTATTTATTTTTATTCATTAAAAAGAACCAAAAACTCTATACCTTTGAGGTTATATTGGTTTTACTTAGAGCACCAGATATACAACGTGGGAAATGTAACTTGTCCTTGTGTTCACGGTTTTGAATATACTTTCCATACAATTACGATGGAAAGTAAAAACAAAATTTTAGTTACCCCGCCCTCGGATGAATAATATATTATTGACATGCTATATATTGACAATATAATACTCTGCCTGACATGAATGCTTCGAAGTAGTGCACGCTTCTAACTTTCAACCATGGTGACTTCCTCATTGACCGACAAACCGTTACATCGGATTCATTTTCACTCCCCATATACAATTTGACGACTAAAATATAACAGATTATATATAACCCTTCTCTTTAGATATTTTTGACACACCAAAATATAATAATTCATCGCCCGCGCAATCAAGTTTCCCCGGCTGTGAAGCCATAGCGAATAGTCAGTGGCTGGCGTATTACTGTTCATCATTTGTCATTGACAGAAACGTCCCCGATACCTTCGCAATAGCCGCTGCTCATGTGGCATTGACTCATTTTCGGGTACTTAAAACCCTAGAAATCCAGTAGGGCGTATGTGGCAAAGAATTTTTTGTAGGTCAAAAACGACTAAATTATCAACGCGAGACCTTCTGGCTGATGATGTGGACATAGTATATACAAATGAGGAGGAGCAGTTAAATGGGAGGACATATATACGTTCGGTGATGAAGTTGTAGGGCGCCAGGTGATCTTAGCCATTACATTTTAGGGAGAAAAGTAGTTATTAGAGGAACGTCATTCATCAATAATAAATGAAACACGAATAACAAAAAAATCAAACATTTAACAATGGGGTCCAACTAAAAGAGTGATCCTCAGGTTCATACTGCTCTGACATGGGCTAAGAAATTTGTATCTGTATTAAGTGGAGGGTAGATTTTCTAAAAAAGGGAAACATAAAAACGAACAATGTGTTCCAAATGACAAGACAGAAGATGGACTCGTTTTGCAAATCGGTCTTAACACTACAATTATCTTAAGTCCAGTATAGGGGTCACGATATAGTTAAGATCGTTTTGTGAAACGGATCCAGGTAAATAAGTGAATGTTAACATGTTTTCTAATTTTGCTTTTCTCATAATTACCTGAAGCTGCCAAAGAGATAGCCACCAACAGCAGCGAAACTTGAATCTTCATTTCAGCCTAACTAATTGTTGACTGTCCTTCAAGCAAAATGTAGCCAGATCTGGCTGACAGCCACCCCCAGCTAACTATCCACGTACTGTGACATGCGCAGCCTTTACTCACAAATTTATTATGTGCCGATGCACATTGTCTTAGCCTTCTTTTATTATCCTGTTTGTGGTTTTAGCGTCTACAATGGTTATCTCCCTTAGAACAATAAAGTCATGGTCATAGTGATAATTTTGACATGTACTGTTAATATTGTTTTACTTAAGCTGAGCAGGTTTGACGGGTTACATGTATCTGCTCATCTGTGTGGAGCGTGTAAGTTGTGCAGTGTTGATGGAGTGTAGGAAAAAGTTGCTGTGTATAGCTAAAAGGCAGAGAGCTCTTGAGAGGTAGTGTATCGTGCTTCCATGGAGACCGTCATGTCGCCATGCTGAAGTAAGCAGCTGTCAATACGTGCAGTCTTTCCAGAACAAAAAACGGCGACAAATCGATTGATTGTATGTAGAACTCGCTGTTTAGTAATGATACGTGTAAATCTAATGTGTGGAGAGAACAAGTTTGCATTGTATAGAAAGTATGGGTGAGGAGTATGAACACTGAGGGGTATGTACTTTGGGTGGAGTAGAGCCCTAACAGAGTTTGTGGACTCTTGCGGAGGATGTGGACACTGACGGGAGGGTGGTGACAGTGACGGAGGATGGTGACAGTGACGGAGGGAGGTGACAATGACAGAGGGTGGTGACAGTGACGGAGGGTAGTGACTCTGACGGAGGGTTGGGACTCTGACAGAGGGTGGTGACGGTGACGGAGGATGGTGACAGTGACGATGTATGGTGACAGTGACGGAGGGAGGTGACAATGACAGAGGGTTGTGACAGTGACGGAGGGTAGTGACATTGACGGAGGATAGTGACTCTGACGGTGGGTTGGGACTCTGACAGAGGGTGGTGACGGTGACGGAGGATGGTGACAGTGACGATGTATGGTGACAGTGACGGAGGGTAGTGACACTGACGGAGGATAGTGACTCTGACGGAGGGTTGGGACTCTGACAGAGGGTGGTGACGGTGACGGAGGATGGTGACAGTGACGGAGGATGGTGACAGTGACGATGTATGGTGACAGTGACGGAGGGAGGTGACAATGACAGAGGATTGTGACAGTGACGGAGGGTAGTGACATTGACGGAGGATAGTGACTCTGACGGAGGGCTGGGACTCGGACGGAGGGTGGTGACAGTGACGGAGGATGGTGACAGTGACGGAGGGAGGTGACAGTGACGGAGGGTTGTGACAGTGACGGAGGGTAGTGACTCTCGCGAAGGGTGACGGATGTTGGTCACACTGACGGAGGTTTGTGATTCTGACGGAGAGTGGTGACTCTGACGGAGAGTGGTGACTGACGGAGGGAGGTGACTCTGACGGAGGGTGGTGACTCTAACGTAGAGTGGTGACAGTGACGGAGAGTGGTGACTCTGACGGAGAGTGGTGACTCTGACGGAGGGAGGTGACTGACGGAGGGTGGTGACTCTGACGGAGGGTGGTGACTCTAACGTAGAGTGGTGACAGTGACGAAGGGTGGTAACAGTGACTGATGTTGGTCACACTGACGGAGATTTATGACACTGACGTAGGGTGGTGTCTCCTACGGGAGATGTTAAAAATACAGCAAGCATGGTGGATGCGATTTCTATCATTGTATTGAAGAAGAAACCACCGTACCTATATCTTGAGGAGGAACCGGAAATGTTTCCCCAAAACTTTCAAATGCAACACGTCCAATACTATCGAGAGAGAAGAGCAGTAGTGTATATGAAACATAAATTGGCTAACATATTGAAATGTCCAAATGAAAGCCCTACTCTTTTGGATATTGGGCCATAAGCACAAGTGGTGAGAAAGTAATAATGATACATTCAGAACCTTGAGACGAGGTTAGAGATTTTCAGTGAAGGTTTACACAATTTCCACAATTATTATGTCATGGTGAAATGAAATGTGCATCTGAGCGATAGTCTTATTTGTAACTATTATATTCCCAATAGTTAAACTTACCTAGGAACTTTCAACCTCTGAACATTAATTTGACTTAATTAGGTGTTATCCCACAATTATCATAACACCTCTTACGTCTCCTGTCGCTGATGATGGGTTTGGATCCTACATTCGCCTTGATTATGAATATTTGTTTGTGTATCAAACATGCCAGTCTACCTTTAAGTACTTAGCCCCTTCTGACACGCACGTAAGCGGAAAGACAAAGAGCATGGTTGTGTTTGCTCTCTTTTGTCAAATCATGAGGGAATTGGTGTCTATCCCTGGAAAATACACAGGTACACAAAGACATAGCAAATAGCAGTCAGGCAATATTGCAAGTTCGAGATATCCCCTTGAGATTCAGTTGTATGAAGACACCGTAATTAGAAAGGGGCATTGTCTTCTGTTGTCAGTGACAGGATCCTATTGGGACGCATGTTGATCATAGTTCCAGCCCAACAAGCGGATCACTAAGATAAACTTGTGAGGGTATCGGGTAAAAACATCTATAATTTCAATTTAAAGAGGGAATTGTGTTTAGAAACGGGTTACGGATTGGACGTCGGATTACCATAATACGCTGCCAGGGATGACCCTTGAATACGCATAGTATGTGTTGAATAAATACTATCGACTGATTTGAGAAATGCAAAGCAATAGTCCAGATACATAGAGATTAATACACGAGTGCTACCATATGCCATATACGAGTTGTTTCAAAACTATCTAACGAGCAATCAGGAAAGTAGTCCGTCATAATCTGACCTCAGGTCATCACCCTCGAGTAGCCAATCACTGGCCTGGAATTCGATCTCACACATATGTTTGATACAGTTATTTCAATTGGTTTCTCACCCACAGGCGTGTAGGAAACCACAATAATGCAGAGGCAAGTCTATTGATCGCCTGAAAAAAAGACGGGAACATATTGTACACGTCAAAAGAAATAATTGCATCAGACATCATTTTTGTCACTGATGCGTCAAATTTTGAAATGTCGAAAAAATGCCTACCATAAAACCTTTAGAAATCTTTACTGAGGCCATGAATATTGTCACCTTGATCGAACAACTTTTGAGCAAGAGTCGTATAACACTCTTTGAAATCTAGTTGAAAGAGAATGCTCGAAGCACCACAAAAGTTGTGAAATGAAGACACCAAAGTCAAATCATCACCAAGACATATATAGGGGCTGTATAAAGAATGTATATAAAAAAAGATAACTTTGGATATTCAACTGATCACGAACACGCTTTTTAAAACAAGTGCCGTGACAATATTTCTGAATTTCTCACAACTAAAACTTTCTTTCTTGTACGAAAAGGATCTTATTAACATCCTCTAAAAATGTGAAAACAACGTATCCAAAGGTTTCTGAGAAGAGGTCGGAGCGAAGATGTACTTTTCAGCAAACTGACCTGCTGCGGTGGTCTTTACTTTGTTGTAGCCAGGAATATTCGGAAATCATTAGAAATATCGTATATACGGTTCCTACTATATCATAAGCAGGTATTTGTGAGTCAAATATCCTGCCCCACCGAAGTCACCCGGTTATATGAACATGTTATGTGTTCAGTAGATGAAGTTCCGTTCATTCCCCCGTATAATGAACGTATTTAACCATGATGGACTTTTCAATAATAAATGTATCAATTAAATAAATTTAAATGCTTGACAATGTTTTCCAACGCCGTGATCGATCAATGCTAATCGTTAACTCCTTTTTAACTGCACGCAATTGATGCATCTTCCAACAAGGTTGTAGCCGCTGGTGCAGATGTCTTTGTCATCTGGGAATAAAGGTTCCTCAGCAACGCCAGTTTCATCCCCGGTAGACTTTATTTGCATTTTCTGTTGTCAAAAGATCGTTCTGGTAAAATCAATACGATGCATCATACAAGTGAGATGAAAAGATGATTGCTGTGTCTCTTGGATACATGGTTTACATTGTTTCTTCTGATTAGACTTGCAAACGGAAGCTGGATAATCAATAATTACAAATTATCTTTGAGGTACCAAACACAACAACAAAAAGTATGTTACTGGTTTTTTTGGTCGACGGAATCTCGGAGCTACATACAAGGCGATGGTAATCATTATCAATCATGTTCTGATGAATTTCTGAGAAAGGAAAAACAAAACGTCTATTCCGAGTGAATGAGAATTTCTGTACTCTTGTCAAAGGGTGACACATATATACTCTTAAAAAAGTAGCGGTTACGCGGACAAAACTTAAAATTTCCAAAATTGCAAGACTCAGCATTTTTTGTTCCGACAATGAATGTGGCGCTGCTGAGTTAGGCACGTGCAAACAAAGGGTTTTTGTCGTCAACACTTATCTTTGTTCTAAAACTTGGTATGAACATATATAATTCATGATACCCCACTATTTTAAGAATATATTTAGTTGGTAAAAAGCATGTGATTTCCGTCTTTTTGTGTTGCAGGTTATTCGATGACTGATAATTTCATTTGGAAACGACGGGGTTGGCGATGGAGAACTGTTTGGTTCAGCGACGGGTCGAGATACATCATCACGAATCAAATCGTCAGATGTGCAGAAAGAGTGTGTTACTTGTCACACCAAAATCTGGTTACCTGTTTCTCTTATTTGGAGTTACTGTGCATGCATGCTATAAGGTCACTATGTATAGTTGAGGAAAACTATTTTCCTAGAATACATATTGATGGGGGAAATGTCTAGTCTAAAATATTCCATTTGTACCCTCAGATAATCGACCATAGCTCTTAAAAGGAAGGTTGGAGGTCGACTTTCTTGAGAATTATAATCCGGAATGAAGGCTTTTTGTTTCGGATGAAATTTGTTACACCTGTCAGGTTAGGCTATGAGATAGACATATTAGACCCCCAGCTTTTTCAATGGCGCTCTTTAGTCATTCCTTGGATCAAGACTCCCGGATAGAAGTAGTGGACTTACCCACTGATTTTAGATTCCTCAACAGATGTTCACAGTTCGACTGAATGCGGACCGTAATCATTTAAAATAGTGCTCATGGATATGTAGTGAAATGTTTAAATGTCACAAACACACTATAACAAAGACAATATTTTTTGCATATATAT